CCAGGTGGCCCCCTCCTCCAGGAAGCCCCAGCTGCCTCTGCCATCAGCTCAGCCACAGTTGGTGGGTGTTGCAACCGCCGCAGCCCTGCACGACTGGGCGCTCCGACCCTAGAAGCGCTCGCTTCTTCCCACGGATCCCTCCTCTGCCTGTGGGCAGAGTTTCGCGGGGGTGCCCGCCAGGCCCCGCCGCAGGGCCCTGGTCTGCAGGGCACGCCGCCGGGAGGAAGCGGCGAGGAAGGCGGGGCCGGAGGCGGAGAACGCCCGTGTCCCCGGGCTGGGGACGGAAGTTGCTCAAGTCCGATTACTTTCAGTTTTGTTTCTCCCTCAGTTCCCCTGCGAGAGCGGCCTCCAGCTGGGACTAGGTGGGGGGGTGGGATTGGACGAGGGGGTGAGGGGTGGCGGCCGTCGAAGGGCTGAAGGGGAGGAGGGAGAGGGGGGGACGACCGGGAAGCTGGAGGAGAGGAGAGTGGAGGGCAGTGCCTGTCCCCCAACTCCCCAGACCCACCCCCACCCCAACCACTCCCACCCTACCTCGGCCAGGGGTCTGAGACTTCCCTCTGAAAGACCCCTGCCCCACTGCCGCCCAGTCAAGGAAAGGGGAGGCTGCACCCTATCTGGGTATCAAGTGCGCACAGCCCCCCACCCCCCATCATTCAAAAGCCCCGCCTCCAGGGGCGTGTGGGAAAGGACCGAGCGGAAACAGGCTGCCTGGTTGAGGAAAACACTGGAAGTTGCCCCTCCTTCCTATCCCATCACCTACTTCAGGAAGTGGGGGGCCACCCGGCTTCATTCCTGGTCCCAGGAGCTGGGGATGGGGGGCCTAGCCAGGGGAGTTCTGGTAGGTGCCCCCTTGGACTCCTGTGGAGATGCCCTGCGACCTGCCTGCCCCCAGCAGCACCCCAGGCTCCACTCAACCCTCACTGCCACGGAGCCACTTCCGACTCGTAAAGACCCCCACAGGACAGAATAGAACGGCCCCTGTGGCGCCCTGAGACTTTAACTCTTTTCAGTAGACAGCCTCATTCCTCTCCCTTGGAGCCACTGGTAGGTTCGAACCACTGACCTGGCCGTAGCCTACTGTAAGCATACTTTAAACTTTAGGCATTACTAGACCGTGAGCCTGAAACGGACAGATAGGTCCCCACCCCAGCGCAGCGGACACTCACTAAAGGATAATGATGGAAAATGCCTAAACCCTCCCAGCAAAACCAGGCACCTGTGTGCGAAGGGTCTTCGCTGACGAAGCCGATTTAGAAGCAGCAGAAGAAATTGACAGGACACCACGCTCTCAATCTGCCGTGTTCACCCGGCTTCCCCCTGCTCCTGGTGGTGGCCGTTGAGTCTCTGGGCCCCGACGCGTAGGAGCAGCGTTCCCTCACTGAAGGAAATGCTGAGGACCAGGGCCCCAGAACCAGTGGCCTTCCTTGCAAGATGCTGACATGCAGCATCTACCCTGGTCTCCTAACAATGTGTGTGTGTGTGTGGGGGGGGGGGGGGGGGGGGGGGGGGGGGGGGGGGGGCTTTGGTGTCCTTTTTAAGGGCACGGTCTAACCGGCCAGGTCGAGGGTCTCATTGATGCTTACAGCACTGCCCCACCAGGCCCTCACAGGACTGGGACCACCCCACCCACGGGGTCTGCCGACTGTGGGCCCTCCCAGGCCAGGGGTCTCACCGGCTGTGCCGCTTTCCACAGCCCCAGGCGAGGACTGACTGAGTGCGTGTGTGAGAGAGACGCGGACTGCCCCCCCACCCCCCACCTCACTGGAGACCCAGAGGACCCAGAGACCAGCAGGAAATCCTTTGCCATCCAGGTGAGACCCCCAGGCCTGGGGATGGGGCAGAGGCAGACAGGTGGGCTGGAGGTGGGGGACCTCTGGCCTCTGACCCCTGACCCTCTGCTTGCAGCATGGTTTCCCAGGGATCCTCCACCTCCCTGCTGGAGGCCTTGAGCAGTGACTTCCTGGCCTGCAAGATCTGCCTGGAGCAGCTGCAGGTGCCCAAAACCCTGCCCTGCCTGCACACCTACTGCCAGGCCTGCCTGGCCCAGCTGGCTGAAGATGGCCACCTGAGGTGTCCCGAGTGCCGGGAGGTCGTGCCTGTGCCAGCCGGGGGTGTGGCCGTCTTCAAGACCAACTTCTTCGTAAATGGACTGCTGGACTTGGTGATGGCCCGGGCCGGGGGAGACCTGCGTGCAGGGAAGCCAGCCTGTGCCCTGTGCCCCTTGATGGGGGGCACCAGCACCGGAGGGCCAGCCACTGCCCGGTGTCTGGACTGTGCCGACAACTTGTGCCAGGCCTGCGCCGATGGGCATCGCTGCACCCGCCAGACCCATGCCCACCGAGTGGTGGACCTGGTGGGCTACCGGGCCGGCTGGTATGACGAGGAGGCCCGAGAGCGCCAGGCAGCCCAGTGTCCCCAGCACCCCGGGGAGGCTCTGCGCTTCCTGTGCCAGCCCTGCTCTCAGCTGCTGTGTCGAGAGTGCCGCCTGGACCCACACCTGGACCACCCGTGCCTGCCCCTGGCTGAGGCCGTGCAGGCCCGGAGGCCGGACCTGGAGGAGCTGCTCCAGGGCGTGGACAAGAGCCTGGGGGAGCTGGAGGCTGCCCGGACGACAGAGAAGGAGATGCTGGCCCAGCTCCGTGAGCAGGCGGCCGGGGTGGGCCTGCAGGTGGAGGAGGCAGCTGAGCGGGTCCTCCGGGCCCTTCTGTCCCAGAAGCAGGAGGTGCTTGGGCAGCTCCGGGCCCACGTGGAAGCTGCGGAGGAGGCTGCTCGGAGGAGGATGGTGGAGCTGGAGGGCCGGGAGCAGGTGGCCAGGACAGCGGCCACATTCGCCCGTCGAGTGCTCAGCCTGGGGCGGGAGGCCGAGATCCTCTCCCTGGAGGGGGCAATGACGCAGCGGCTCCAGCAGCTGCAGGACTGGCCCTGGACCCCTGGGCCCTCCCCTGGCTTGCTGCCCCGACTGGAGCTCCACCCCCAGCTGCTGGAGGAGGGGTACCCCCTGCTCCAGCTCGCCTTTGACCAGCAGCAGCCCCAGAAGGGCAACGGGAGAGACGGAGCTGGGGCCCAGGGCCACGACCCCACCCTGATCCAGGGCAAAGACAGAGCCAAAGCAGAGAAGCCGGGCAGTGGAATCCAGCCACAGAGCCAGGAGGTCGCCAAGTCCCCCAAAGCTGAGAGAGCCCAGGTTCTGCGAGAAGAGAGGCCCCAGACACCCACGGTGGACAGAACTTGGGTCCCCAGAGAAGCGAAAGAAGTCAAGCCCCAGAAAAGCGGTAGCACCAACAGGAGACCCATGAAAGGCAGGCTGGAGCCCGTTTCTCGGGAGCACAGCCCAGCCCCCTGGCCCACCCTGGAAGGCCGCGGCCTGCTTCCCAAGCCCGTCTTCTCCTGCAGTTTCCCCACGCGCATGCCCGGAGACAAGTGGTCTCCCCGGATCACAGGGCTCTGTCCCTTTGGCACCCGGGAGATCCTGCTGGCCGATGAGCAGAACAAGGTGCTGAAGCGTTTCTCCCTCAACGGGGACTACATGGGCAGGGTGCACATCCCCGAGGGCTGCTCGCCATGCAGCGTGGCCATGCTGCGGGACGCGGTGGCCTTCTCATCTGGAGCCCGACTCTACCTCATCCGCTCAAACGGCGAGGTACAGTGGCGCCGGACTCTGAAACACTCACAGGCCAGCCACGCCGTGGCCGCCCTGCCGGGCGGGAACAAAGTGGCTGTCAGCGTGTCCGGCTACGTGGAGGTTTATAGCATGGAAGGAAATCTGGCCACCCGGTTTGTCCCTGGGGGCAAGGCCAACAAGGGCCTCCGGGCACTGGTGTTCCTGGCAACCAGCCCCCAGGGCAACTTTGTGGGCTCCGACTGGCAGCAGAATAGCCTGGTGGTCTGTGATGGGCTGGGCCAGGTGGTCAGTGAGTACAGTGGGCCCGGCCTGCAGGGCTGTCAGCCGGGCTCCGTGTCTGTAGACAAGAAGGGATTTATCTTTCTGACTCTCCGGGAGGTCAACAAAGTCGTCGTGCTGGACCCGAAGGGTTCCTTTCTGGGGGACTTCCTCACGGCTTACCACGGCCTGGAGAAGCCGAGAGTGACCACCATTGTGGACGGCCAGCACCTGGTCGTGTCCCTGAGTAATGGGACCATCCATGTCTTTCGGATCCGCTCTCCTGAGAGTTAAAGGGGCGAGGACCGGAGTGGGGGGTGGGGGGAGGGCAGGACTGTCTCTGACCTGGGACAGGAGGGCATTTTCCTAGAGGGTCAGGGTTGGTGATGCTTCAAGGTGACGTGCCAAACTGCCAGACGCTCCTTCTGATGTTCAGGGACAGGAGGCACTGGGTGGGCGCCACCCCGCTCTCTCCCTGTGGGAGGGGCAGTTCAAGCAGGTATACATTTACCTTCTTCAAAACCACTCCTGGTCCAGTGGGCCAAGGGAGTCCTGGGGAGGAAATACCTTCCGCCTGCCCCAGCCAGTGGGACTCCTGTAATGAGGGCATTAGCCAGTGTAATAAGGGATGGGCTTTGACGGGGACAGTTGTGGACACCAACCTCGGCCAAGGGGCTTTTTCTCAAAGGCATCATGGGAAAAGGTTCACCAAACCAAAGCATTCTAACGCTGCGCGGGGGTGGGGTGGGTGGGTGGTGGGTGGGGGTGGAGCCTAAAAGACAGGGTGTCAGGGTGAAGACAGGGCCCAGGCTGCCCGCCAAGCAGCTGCCCCACAGCTTCCTTCTGCCGTCTTTTCACGGGTGGGGCTTATTGTTTGATTTTCCCCCGCAAATTCCCAGTTGGGGAATTTTTTATCTTCTCCAAGGGGTGGGGCACAGGCAGGCCAGACAGTCGGAGGAGTGGATAGGGGAAGAAAACTGCATGTCCCCTAGCGGACAGTCCGTGGCAGAGCCATGACATGGAGGTGCTGTGATGAGGGACAGGACGTGTGTAGTTAGGGACTGTTGGGAAAAATGAGCACAGGATGTTCGAGGGGGTGTCCTGGGCAATGGGTGTGACTCGCGTCTGCACCAAGCCCAGATGGAGAAGGCAGGGCGTTGGATGCGGGGGCGGGGGAAGAAACTGCTTACTCAGGCGCGGGGGGTGGGCATTTCTTGTTTGCGGAAACAGTAGGGGAAGTTGGCAGTGTGCAGATGGCCAAGTTCAATGGGGACAAATGTGACCAGGGGGCTTTCCTTGCAAAGGATCATCAGAGACAAGAAGGAAGACCCACAAAACAGCCACCTTTTTACACGGTATATTTTGTCACAACAAAACGAAGGGGGTGGTGTGGAGATGAAACCAGTAAGATAAGACAAAGGGCCTGGTGGCACCCCGCTTAGGCGCCTGGCTACTCTCTGAAAGGCTGGCGGTTCAAACCCACCCCACGGCGCTCCAGGAGAAAGGGCCATTCGAGGAACGGTGGTGGCTTGTGCTGGTGGTTTTTCGGTGCTGTCCCCGTGGGTCATTTCTACGTGGTGCCGTCGTCTGGCGCTGCATCAGCGCTGACAGCACACCCGCAATATGACGAGATCAGAAAACTATGTGGGAGAGGAGGGGCCGGGAAAGAGCAGAGGCCCCAGTGTGCACGGCGACTTACCGACAAGCTATCAGAGTTTCTAGAGAGGCAGGGTGCCCAGGAGGAGGCGCCCAGAAGCGCAGACCCCGGCCCCCACCCCATCGAGTGGTTCTGACTCACAGAGACCCTGTAGGAGAGAGCAGAGCTGCTCCGTAGACTTTCTGGGGCGATCAGTCTCTACAGGAGCAGACAGCCTCGTCTTGCACCCAAGAAGCAACCGGGGAGTTTGAACCTAACCCAGAGTGCCACCAGGGTTTCAAGAAACGGGAAAGAGGCAGGAGTGAGGTGGGGGGAACCCTGAAAGATGAAAGCACTTATCTTACTTCGATCAAAAAGAAGTTTTAACCATGTGCCGAGGAGCACATACCTCTGACCCCTGTCACTGGGCGATGATGCAGGCTTCCTGGAGAACCGTTTGGCAAGAGTGCGAATTCTTGACAAGAGTCAGAAAAGAAAAATGATTGCAAAGATACGTTATCCCACCTTGGGGAATACATGCTGGGAAGAGCCGCCCAGAGGAAAGCATTTGCAAGAGCTTAGCTGTGGGGTGACAGCTCGGGGGGGAGCGGGGTGGCCGTAGGTCGGGACGCTGGGTGCTCGTATACAGAAGCTGTTCTATTTAGGAGAGATAGAGTCACGTGATGCAATCAGAAGCCAAGAGTGGAGTCTTGGGAGTTACGGTCACACAATGCTAGCAACCAGGCAAAAAGCCTGCCCAAATAGTGACCAAGTAGAAATAGACCCCTAAGCGGAGATTTGGGGAATCGGGGTGGTTTTGTTGTTTGTTTGTTTTGAGTTTTTTACATGCTGTTATTTCTATCTGCACAAGTATGCTTCAGTTTCCCGCCATTAAATAAGCTGTGCACTTGGATATGTTCTCCCAACAGATTACCCAACTCCGTGGCAGTTTAAGACTAGCTATTGCACCGGAGAACGAATGTATCAGAGTCAATGAGATTGGTGTGACCAGTGGAGGAAAGGGAGTCACAGCCGGCCAGGGCTCAGAAGCACGGCGAAGCCTAACCAGGCAGGACAACTGACCGAGGAACCCACCCTGGGAAGTTGGGTAGGGCGCAGTCAGCCCCCTAGGGTGGTCAGATTGTTAGTGGAGAGAGTCCGAGGACCGGGGAAGGAAGCTCACTCAGGCCAACTGGAAAGCTAGCGGTGGTGGTGATGCTGCTGAACCAGCTAGCCGTAGAGGCGGAGTCGTGCGTGGGCAGGAACTGCGCTGGCCCGCTTCGCAGCCACATGCCAAGAGCTAGCAGAGTGCTGGCACTCAGAGGCGCTCTAAATGTCTGTGGCCGGGAAGAACCTCTGGTTAAGGGATGGGACAGTGCCATAGCTCCTTGTGGAGACCACTGCCAAGCGATGAAGCTTCAGCTGACCAAGTTGCCGGCTTGTGGCTTGTGGAAGATTTCCTGGAGGGGTCGCATTATTGGCCCGGTCCACCCTGTGCCTCACAGGGGGCGGCTCTGCTCCCAGTCAAAGAAAGAGATGAGACTGGGTGGTCCCGTTTTGTTGGTAGCAGGGACACGGGCTCTCGGGGATCATACTCCCTCGGGTCCGAATAGCTGCCGCAGAGGGTCCGGCGGGTAGAATGCACCCAGTCAAATAGCTCACCCAGTGGTCATGCAGGAATAAGACACCTTCAGGAATCCTCTGAAGGCCAGAAGGGAGTCAGTCCCACAGGTGCCCTGGAGTTGCAGGAGCCAGGGGGTATTGTTTCCAGGAAGCTATAGGAATCCTGGGAAACTGGGCTTTGGAGACAAGGGCAGGACTGGATTTTCTTCGTGAAGCAGGAAGGCTGGACAGGCGCAGAGTCCTGGCTAGATGGGGAAGGGCTGGAGAGCACAGAGCACGCTCTGGAGGCCAAATCCCCAGAGCCTTCCCTGTGAGCCTGGAGTCCTAGGGACTCCTGTGGGAAACGCAGCGGGAAGTTCTGGTGAGACTCTGCTCTTAGGAAGCCAGCAGCGTCCGGAGAGACGAGGGCCCTCTTCGCCTCCCATCCAGCATCAGACTGTGTTGGGTCGATAAGTTGTACCTTTTCCTGCTTGGGAACCATCCGGGTTGGCCTTGTGTTGGCAAACTTGAGACTGTCCTTTGGGTGTGGAGACAGGGCGTGGGAGAAGACCTCTCTGGCAGCTCTGTGCCTGGAGAAGGAGAGAAAATGCGGTCACAGCCCTGTGGACTGAACGCTGGCTCGTCCAGTTAAATAGCCGTGTGTTCTTGGTCTCATTCCTTTGCCTCTCTGCGTCTCGAGTTTCTGCACAGTAAAATGGGGGGGGGGGATGATACCCACTCTGCCCACCTCACTGGGTCCAGGTGAGAACGGAATGAGAAGTATATACAAGTATTGTGTACACCATAAAGCTCAACTTTGAGGTATTGTTTGGTCCAAAGTTAAACTGACAGGTGCTGACCTCTCACTCCTCAATCGGCCGGCCGGCGGCGTCTTAGTGGGGTGGCAGGTCCACACATGGCAAGGTGAGACCTAGGAACACCTGGGGAGAGTTGTTATCTGCAAACCACCCATCCTCTTCAGAGGGGACGGTAGTGCCTGGGTTTGCAGTCGCGGTTTGAAACCATATGCTGAGACAACCAGGAATGGAAAGGATTGATACCATTCCCGGAGTGCCAGCTGAGAATCAGACGTGCTAAGGACTGAGAGCCACAGGCATTTATTTTTAAAAAGGTTTGGTTTGGTTTTTAATGGCCAGAGTAGTCCAATCTTTGGGTAATGTAAAGAAAAATACATTTGGGAGAGAATAGCTCTCCATGCATACACCATGCGCTTGTTATTACTCTATCTGTAAAACAATGTCATAATTCTACAAAGATGACGTTCCAGAGGGGCAGAAGTTCAAGAGAAAAGTCCAAAGCATCCTCAAGGGGGCAGTGGAGAGCCAACACCATGTGGACGAGAAGGAACGAAAGCCCCCACCCCCCCACCCCCACCCCCCGTTGACCGTGGTGGTCACACAGCCCTTCCTGGTACACATGAACTAGTGAAGTGTAGGATATGTGCATCATAGCTCAATAAAATATATATGTTTTAATTTCCCGAGGAAGTTGATGAGGTTAGTGACCCTGAACCGGGCAGGGTTTGCTTGGGGGGTGTTTGACCATCTCTTGTTGGCAGAGAAGCTCAGAACTAGAAGGTATGCCTTCAATCAAGTGGCAGATCCCACAAGGACATAGAGTTCTGGACCGGGGAGAAAACATACTTGGCCTAGCTGGGGCAGAGAGCTGCCAGAGCGAACACCCAAGAAGATGTTCCCAGCGGGAAAAAGGCCAAGTCTAGAGACAGGCTTAGGAAAAGAGGTAATTTGACTGTGGGTGGCGAACGCGTCTACCCAGTTGGCTCATCGATCTGACTACATGAAGTGGATCAACACGGGAGCAAAAATCGGTGTTTCCAGGGGCCACGGACTCCTGTGATTGAAGGCGTGCAGACGGTAGAGACGGGTCAGGTGAGACCTCCCCTGAAACTCTGGGTGAAGAATCTTGGGACCAATTTCTCAGAGAAGAGAAATTCCTTCTCTGAAGGACCAGACACACGAAGCCAAGAAGATAAGTAGATTTGGGGGAGTTTGGGAAGGCAACCAGAAACCTGTCT